TCGAGTTTCAAAGCCAAGATCTCGTAATGCTTTTTTTTTTTTTTCTCATGTCACCTCAGGGGCTCCGTAGGTATGGGTACATCAGGGATATATTTGATAAATATATATATATATAAATATATATATATATACTTTAATATTGTGTAGTGTACAAACAGCAACAATGACATCCTTTAGACAAATTCTGTTTCTGTAATGAGAGTCTTAAATCTAATATACTGAACAGTCAGAAGTCCTCTGCTTCCATAAATATCTGCAGTGTAACAAGGGCCCTGCTGTGGTTTGTAAGTTTTAAGCAAAATTATATCAATAATTATATCAGTTCTACAACTACAAGAGAGGATAAAAGACAGACGGGATATATCAGAGATACAGTGATCTTAGCAACACAAACTTACCATTGTCCCAGTTGAGATAACGATAAGGCTTCCCATTAGACCAGTGCCAGCCATGTTCTGTATCCTGGATCAGCCCAGTCCAAAGCTTGTCCCCCTGTCCCCTGCCCCCTGCCCTTAGCAGTACTTTGAGTGTGTTTGGAAAAAAAGGCATGAAACAAAAATGGTAAAATTGTATTCACGCACAAATTTGAATTATTCAGTAAAATGTTAATTATAGACTATTTATTGTTACAGAGTGGATCACACATATTAAATGAGCACTGATAGCTTTTTGTCAAACACTGCTCAGCCCAAATACAGCTGCCTTTATCATTAGGGATGGGTATTTTTATGATTTTATTGATATGTTGATACTATTGCTGCTTATTGATACTGATACCTATCAATACTCTTATTGATTTCATTATATGTAGCTAAGTAAGCCCACACTTTTGCCCTGTCTGCTGTTTATGTAACCTTACATAAATACAGACGACAGTATTGATATTATGGTACTGACCAGTCAGGAACTGGTACCGGTTTAGTAGCGGTTCTCGATACCCATCCCTGTTTATCAATACATGTCGGTGTCACCTTACCTGTGACGTAAGCGTGTTGGTTAGGATCTGTGATACTGAGCAGGGAGGCACCCTGCTGTTTACAGCTGGTTTCAGCCTGGGACCAAGTCAGAGCGGAGTGCGTGTTGAACTGGTAATATGCTCCTGATGTAAGGTGTTTTTGCCAGTGTTGTTTGGCTGTGAAATATACATAGAAAAATATGAACATCATATCATATTGCAGTTATTTTGGCAGATATTGTGATGGCGATTTTTGCATCACAAATGAAATTTTCCACTGAAAAAAAATTTTAATCATAAGGATGTGACATTTGTTGGGATCTGTACCAAACACTCAACATATTTTCTTACATCTTGAAATTTGTAGGCCAGGTTATCTCTGCAGAACTATATAGTACTTCATTATAATGCTATTTTGTCACATATTTGACCTTTTATCAACAAATTCTAGCTTTTGACCATTTACCTTATTTTGATAATATTTTTATTAATTGTGCAGCCCTAATTTTGTAATGCTTAGATATTTTTTCCCTCTATAACCTCAAGTTGCACATTTATGCCTCCTTGTTTACACTGAATGTTGGAGGCTGACTAAAATGTGAACTAGTGGTAGGTCCTAAATAAGAGCTTATAAGAGCATACATGATTCACTTCATTGAAATCTGTTTATATAAATTGTGCACTGTAACTGACTTCTCTCACTGCAGTAAAGATAAGTAATAAAGCTCTCACACAGGCAGTACTCACAGTTACTTGGGCAGAAACCCCAGAGTTCTCTTTCAAATTGTGTTTCAACCGCACACCAACTTCTTTCTGGGGATTCAAATGTCGTGCACTCTGTGAACCATATGTCTTTGTACTTGAAGGGAAACATACAGGTCCGACCATTCGCATTTCCTCCGATGGTGTAATATTCTAAAAGGACAAAACAAGGACAAAAGAAAACAAAGAATAGCTTGATTTTGAAAACATCTGTGCCTTTTAGTAATTACATTTTAAGCTAATATATGACACATTACTTCACCACTTTTGATGTTAAAATAATAAAAATTTTGGATGGATTGCATTTAGTGTGACGGTTTTATCTTTTTCACACATTGATTCACAGGGATATACAGCAAACTTAACAGAGAAAAAAATAAATATTCTTAATATTAACAAGAAAACGGTCACGCTAATGACTATTTATAAATGAGTGTGGGCAAACCCACAACATACAATGCTGTACCTCTTCTTCAACTTCAACTTTCAACTTTATTTCTCCCCAGAGGGCAAAACAACAAAACAAAAACAAAAAAAACTAACCTCTGTATGTTCTCGAGCATGCACCGCTGGACGACCCTAAAATTGTTAGGTGGTTATTGGGTCCGGTTGTTCTGGAGAGGACTGCTGTGTTATCTGCAGTGAGCTCAATGTAAAGCTCTTGGCCTTTGAGAGCGAGTAGTGTCTCATTCCTGCATTCCCACTTTTGGAGTTCACTGTTTTCATCACAATCATAAAGGGTTACTTCACTTCCCACGCTTTTCCCCTGGACTCCGAGGCACTTTTTCATTTGTGGAAACAGAAGTCGATCACCAGTTGTCCAGACTATGGGACTACAGTAGTTATATGTTTTACGCAAACAAAAACCAGTGGCCTTGTTAGTCAGTTGAAACGGTGAATCTGTAGAGAAAAATAAGAATTAATACATGGTTCTCATGATAGTATGCAGAAGAAATCAGAAAATCTTCCGAGCAGCTTTTTCCAGTCTCACCGCCAGTTGTGGTAAATTTGAGTTTATGTTAATGACCGTAATTCACAGACTAAACAGAAATATAAAAAACAACACTCTTAGAATTAGAATTGCCTCTATATTGAACTGTAACAAATCTACAAAACAGGTTTACACAGGTGACACAGTGACACACTGTAAAGGACACAACAGTCTCACATATAGTTAAGTATATCAAGCAATGTGCATCCTTACATCTAATGTACATATAGACATACTTACTCAGTAAGAACATCCACAAAAAACTTTAAATTAAATGTTGGAATACTGTACCATTTGAAGAAGCCAAACACAGTAATGTTTGGAGGAGGATGAACACAAAAGCTGTACCAGTTCTCTTCATCGTTGATTGAGATATCTTACAGGATGTTATCAATACATTTCTCACGGAGGATTTAAGAGTTGTGTAAATGATTGTCGGAAGAAGGGCTCTTAATATTGTGTACCCATCCTGTCACATCATTTCATCATGACATTTTTTCTTCTTTATTTAATGAATCAGCATCTTGTTTCAGACGAAGTAGGAGGGGCATGTATTACCCTTTTTTTCCTGGAATCCAAATGCTGATATCTGCATTCTAGAGTTTCCTTTTGAGCTTAATGACAGCATTTGTGAAACTGTAAGTCAGTCGTAATACAGTTGAGTATTAAACAACAAGTTCAATTATATTAATTACAAATCAGAATAAAGTGGTAGAGGTATGGCAACAAATTGAAACTGATTCCCAAAAGTAACGACTAGCTGTCAAATTAGTTACATTATGCTTCATGTCAGGAAGCAGTGTTAATTTTGTTAATGAAAATAAGGACTACAAATGATCGTCGTCAACCTTTTTTCCATGACAAAGACGAGGCGTTGATGAGATCAAAATCAATCTTTGATAATTAAAACTATGACGAAATTGATGATTTGTTTTTATTGATGAGTCACGACTACAATGTTAATGCGATAGGCTATTGGATATTAAGCTGGAGAGCTGTCCAGAGCACTTCTTTTCTTTCATGCCTATAGTTGTTGTTTTTTTTAATACTTTATTTTGAAGTTTTCAGTTATGCAAAACAGTACAACTCATTCCCACAGACAAAATAGTATAAATAATAAGACAGACAAATAAATAATAATAAGATAATAAAATTATTTAGGAAAATAGATAAAATACATATAAACTATATATATATATATATATATATATATATAATAACAACAATAATAAAATAATAATTAAAAAAAAGAAAAAAGGGAACAATGATTACATTATGATTGATGTGTCAAGGACACTTTAAACATTGTACCTGGACATTATTATTGATCGTTGATCGTTATATTGAACCAGTTCAAGGTTTACAGAGAGTCTACAGCTGTTAGGGGTAAAGTTTCGATATATTCAATAAAAGGATGCCAGATCCTCAAAAAGGTGTCGTGTCTATTTCTTATGACATATGTGATCTTCTCTAGAGGTACAAAACGGTATTTTTGAATTCCAGTTAAATTGTTATGGAACTGTGCCAGTAGGCGTGCACAGATCTCAAAGGGTGCCCAGGAGGGAGAGAAAGAGAGAGAGAGAGAAACCAAGCAGTGTTGATACCATTGTGTCTGCTGGCTTATTTGTGCTATCCCTTTTACAGTGTCACAAAACTACTCCAGGCATATATTTATATATATATATAATTAATAAATAAATAAAAATAAAAAAACATTTATTAAATTGGGCACCCGTACCTCTAATAACATCCTCTGCCCTTTGCTGCCATTAGGGATTGATACTAGCAAAATAATAATAGTAAAAAACATTAATAGAAATTAGTAAAATCTCAAACAAGCAGAGAAAATTTTGTCAAAGAGAAAAGCAATAATCTAAATCCTCTAAAGAAGAGGAGATTAACTAAAAAGTTAACCCCAGGGAATCTCCCCAAAAATCATAATCATCACTTCACATCATTCAAGCCCTTTGTTAAAGTGTTTGTAACTTAATGATTTTAATTTTGACCCAGTCGGTTATAACTATATGGGAAGACAGACAGAAGCACTTATGATTCAAATTGTGTTTTGAAAAGTGCAAAAAATGATTCACATGGATTCTAGAAAAAGAAGCGTTTTACTGTGTGAAGTTCTTTACTGGCTAAAATCTTGTGCAAAAAAAGAGGAAGCCATCAAAATGCTGACAGTCTGTTCTTGATTCAGATGAAGTCTGAACTTCTGTAAATACTTGAATTGAATTATCAAAGAAGACATTCCATGAATGTCCCAAGAAGTATAGTACTTCAATAGTTACAGTAGAATAGTACTTAGCATACAGAACCCAATACGTTTGGTAAAAAAAACCCAGCTATGATGAACAAATAAAGGTTTACAACTAAAAAAAAAAAACCAAATGCTTTTATATGTTGTTGAAAACACTTTTCAACAAGAACTAAAACGTTTTTGTTTAGTACCAAGTTTAATGTTTATTTAACAGTGACAGTTTTTTCCACACATTTAAAGAGTACAAGCCATGAACAGCATCTAGTTAGCATAAGCACAACATTTAACAATTATATACATTCAATCATAGATTTAAAAGACAAAATCAAATACCAATCATTCCCATTGAGACATCCTAGAGCCTAAATTGTTCTGTTCCATGAGGTCAGACATTGCCAACTTCATTGAAACTCGCACTTAGTGACATATTGTTAAATAACTGAATATATACCGTATATATAGATAAAAAAACAAAAAACAAAGCCAAAACACTAATAAAGCATCAACGTGTAATACATCAGTAGGGGATACAGCAGAGTATAGTGGATCCAACTAGATAGATTCTGCGCCAAAGTAACAGAATCTATCTAGTTAGAATTGGCGCTATACAAAATAAATTGAATTGAA